GACCTTCGACTGTATTTCAACAACTCGAATACGTTGAAAATAGGTTATTCTTGGCTTTCACTGATCACGTGATAGTCTAAAAAAGCTATTTAGAGGCAGAATTAGCAAACTTTTATTAATGTTCTCGAGAGAACATCTTAATTTAAGGATCATGACGAAATTTAGAGCCGAAATAATGAATTTTAACAGAAATACGAGCGATCGAAAATTGGTAAGAATGTATGGATTAGCAACGGCTCAATGCGTTTTGGACTGATCAAGAAATGCCTACAAAAAGCTTTGTTTTAAGATTCAAATTAATTTTTTAAGTCCAAGGATCAAAAAAGTATATAACTCCCAACAGTTATGCAAAGTTTGAATCAAAACTGTGATTTCCTAGCAAAATTATAAGCGTTTGAATACGGTCTTACTTTACAAAGAAATGTATGGGGCCGCCATGATTGTGTCCCGGTCAGGGACTTCAAAATGGCGGACGGTAACTCCGAGTATCAAATTGAGCTCAAAACTAATGATTTTGCTTTAACTTTACAACTATATCATTGTAAACATTTAAATTGATGCTGARACTATAATTGTTTTAAGATTCATAGGCTTTTCGAGTATTTTTGGCGTGTATCAAGTCTTTTCTGTGCCTGTTTTTGTTCTCTTGCTTTTGTTTCTCATCCGCTTGTCTTTCCCGCTTCAGTTCGCTTTTCAGCCGTTTCTTTCCCGTCTTCTTCACTTCTCATCCGTCCCGTTTCACTTCTCATTCCGCGAGATTATAAGTCTGTTATTTCTATTCTTTTCTTGTCCCTCTTTTCAGTTCTTTTAAGTCTAAACTGATTAAATAATGCCCCAATCAGACCTGAAGGCAGCCCAACATACATACATACATTCTTTCAAGATCCCAGTACGTGGGTCAGGTACWCCTTCAGCGAGGGGCTGGCCTGGCTCAAAGATGCAGCAAGACTTCAACTTTTGACAACAATCGCAGCACCTCCACCAATGAAACAGCCAAGCCATTGAAGTGACTATGTCAGCAAGCAGCAGAATCACCAATAAAACGCACAAAAATACGAACAGCCCAAAACTATCCGCTCTTGTCGTTTCATGACGATATCGATGGTAGAAGTCGACATAAATTGTCAAGTTATGACTTTCGTGTGAGTTAGATACTGCCATTATAGTTATTATAAAGGTAGATAAGGCGAGCAAGCACTCAAGGAAAGCYAGAAGCCGAGTGAGGAGAAGAACGAACAGTGGTCGTTTCATCGTGGTAATGTAATTCAACAAATACAAACYGGAGCAAGATGTGGCAAGCGAAATGATGCCGCACGATATCGAAAGACCAACAAAAGTATCTTTTAAGTCATCATCTATCCAGTAACGATGATTCGCTTCTATAAGACAAAACACTGCAATACTAACGATCTCAATGAGGACAGCGACGATCAAATGAGATATACTCCATTTCCTTGCGTGATTGAAGTTGATTCTTCCACGCTTTATACCGAAGTTGCCATCACGATACGCTTCATGATAGTCTGACGTTCCGAAATCAAGTYCCCCAATGACTAGCGGCTCATTATCAAGGTCTAATTCTGTGCGATTTGCTTCTTCCATTCCGTTTGTTTGAGTAGTAGAATCCATCGTCTCATGATCAGCTAGACATTGAACGAAATCAATCTTCCGCATAGTTTGCATAGTAGTACTAGATCCTGCCACGGTATTATACGCACGTGGGAGCATGAGCACCAGCCCGCCAACTTTGATTCCAGCGGACAAAAATATGACACTTTGGTAGTAGATTTTGAACGAAAATTGTAGTATTAGCAAATGATACTACAATCTGATAGGTTTGAAGTTTTTGTTTCTTTTGSTCGTAATATTGGCAAAAGTCATCCTTTAGCTGGGAAATACCCACAGGTCGGAGATCATAAATCTGGCTTGACCCCGGGTGGGAGGGGAGTAGTAGGCAAAGGATGTTTCGACCCCCGAAAATAGGTGGTAGGTGGTAGGTGGTAGGAGGTATGCTAATGAGACGTTGGTAGAATACTAATGAGGTTCCCCGCATTGGTAATTTATGCCCCGTCCAGTAGGTGGTATAAATTATTTCAGTAGGAGGTATGCTAATGAGTCAAAAGTGATAGGGGAGGGGTGGTCAAAACGAGTAGGAGGTRATTCATTATCATAAAATTGTGGGCAATCTAATTATGCAACGTTAGTGTTGATAAATCGAGGGCAACCTAGTCATACAACTTATGTGTTGGTAATCTAATTATGCAATGTTGATAATATTTTATGTCAAGGTTCAGCGATCGCATAAATTAGTATCTGAAGAAAAGGTTAATGATCACTTTTGTTCTGAGACAATAGGTCACCTGCTACAGGAGTTGGAATAACCAAAAATTATGATTTTCAGCCTTTTTATATTTCTAACTATTGATTACTATACCTCACTTTTATTGTAAAGGCATTCATTACTTTGAAAACTTCCGAGAGGCCCGGAAAGGACCGGAAAGGCCCGAAGCTGTCCGAAAGTTCCGGAAAGGACCGAAGCTGTCCGGAAAGGCCCGAAGCTGACCGGAAATGGCCCGAAGCTGACCATAGAATGAGCTCCTGTTTCATCAGCATTTTAAAATAAGCAACAACAATGCAATCATTTATTTCAGTTGTTTTTTATTTTTCAATTCATCAGTAAAGATCGTTTACACTTCTAATTTTGACCATTTGTAAGGATTGCGCCTTATTCGTTGTGATCGCCTTAATCTGTGGGCGCTTGAAAAAGGACCAAACGTTTTGTGAGAATCGCTATCCAAATAATTCTTGATTGGATATCGGGGTCTCTTACGATTTTTTCTGGGTGGAGATATAGTGGATGGTGGCGTTAGCAGCGCAGAAGATTGAAACTGTGGGCTTGGTGAGACCGCGCTTGTGAAGGGAGAATCATTTACTGGCGACGACGGTTGATCATCTTCTTCTTCACTTGATACTTGC